CCAGATGGCTTTAAAATGAATATAGCATTCAAATAACTACACAGAAGAAAGCATCCTCTAACCAGTTGATTCATATAAAATGTGTGAAAATCAGATGATACCATTTATTTTTCCACTTAGAATTAGTTTCAAAAGTTTTCCCTTTATATAAATGACATAACATGGCAAAACACGCATGTTTCACGTGAGCCAAAGTGCCTGCCGGTCGCTGGTCTATGGCTGGGGGAAATCAGGGCAGAAAGTGTTTGATTAAATGTACACAGTCCGGAGGGATTATTTTTAAAGTTACCCTTTAAAGTGGGACTGAATTAAAAATGTATATATTCAAATAAATGAAATACCTGAATAATTTAAGAAAACACCAAATAGTAGAAGGTTAATAACTAGCAGCTTAATTTAACTTGTTTTCAAACTGTGTAGATTTTTTTTCACCACAAACGAAGTATGCCACAGACTTTTTGTTTCGTAAAGAAAAATACCTCTGGTGAGACAGAATACAGTCCTGGAAGGCAGTCATGTAGAGTCCACTCAAATCATTTCAAGAACCTTCTATTTCTTTTTCAGCAACTTAAATTCTGCCTTGAAATAAGGATAAAGCTCTGATTCGTCCAGCATATTTTTAAAATATGTCATTTCATCAACATGAACAAGAAACCATCACCAAACAGGATGCTTTTCCAGCCATCACTACCTCAAGATTTTTCTTCACTTTTCATTAAATTAAAACCCCCTTCTGTTAAAACAGTGATGCTGAGTATGTAAAGGGAGTAATGGCCTGAGTGAGTCCGCCCAAACTTGTGGGGACCAGTTCGAATCCTGTGAAGATGCCTTTGAGAAGAAAGGGCCGGTGGTGTAAATTATGCAATAGGTTAATTATTATTTGGAAACAAAACTGCTTTAGGCAAAGCACTGTCAGTGTGATTTACCGTTTTTTTCATAAAAGCTTAAAATAATTAAGTTGACCCTACACAATATTCCACTTAAATTGCACTTAGGGAGTGGCTACAAATTTTAAAAGTCATTTGTAATTACAGGAGTAATGCATAGATACATGTACCTTCTAAACATAGATACAAGCCAAAAATTCCATTTGATTCTCATTCCAAAACCATTCCCCAGATATTAGCACTGTGTGTGAATTGTTCCAGGTTTTAAAATTCCGTATATGTCTGTGTATACTCGTATCTAAACGATAGCGTAGGTTTGGTGGCTTCTTACTGACACAGGCTCATTTATTGGCCCTGCAAATCTGCACAGAGTGTCTGCCTGCATCTTTCCGTCACCTGTGCTGGAGACACAGCAGCAAACCGGGCAGCCGCGGCCTCCCTGGATGCACGTCCTCGCTGGTGGAGGACAGACAGGCAAGGCAGCAACTTGGTCGAAGGTGGGCAACCTCAGGACTGAGAACAAGCACAGGACACGGAGGTGGGGGCTCAGTCGCGAGCAAAGCTGGCAACCTGCACGCTTCAGCAGGGCTGTTCTGCACCTGCCTTTGCCCAAGGGGTGAACTCGAGGCGAGCGTCCCCTAGACTCGCATCTGGCCTGAGAATCGTCACCACACCTGCTGTTTCCTCCGGATGCCCGGAGCATCTAGGTCTCCGCTCTCAGACTAGAGCTGACATTAAACACTGGACAGAGCCAAATACTTCTTCCCTTGAGTCCAATTCCTTCTTTTCTCCCTTTCTCCTCCTCCTCCTTTTCTTGCAAACTGCAGTCAGGACCTAGCCTCCAAAAGCCCTGGCTGCTGAAGGGCCAGTGGGCTGACGGCTGCATACGAAACGTTCCGATCAGAATCGCCAGCAACGCGAAGCAGCCAGCTTCTTTTTCCTCCATCTACTGGGCGAATCAGAAACAGAAAAAAGACACGAACTACAGGAAGCAATCTGCTCCGACGCATAAACGAAACTACCAGTGCCTCTGATCGAAGCTGAGGCCGGGACGCATAATCCATGCCTTTCAAGTTCTGTAGTCTGAGGAAAGGGACTTTCGGTAGCTACATTAAAAGAGACAGATCGAGGCGAGTGCAGTGGAAAGAACACAGCACAGAAGACCCAGGTCTGGTCCCAGCAAAGGGGCCTCCCCACCGAAACGAAATATTCGCCGCGCCTTGTATTTTAATCAGTATGCCTCGCTCTAAGACGACCTCCTCATGTCTAAAATGAGGTTACTCCTGTTCACTGCCTACCTTTCTTCTTCTGCATGGAATTGTTATAGGGCTTAACTCAAATAAAGCAAACAAAACAAAACAAAACAAACCCTATAAATAGTTGTAACAAATTCCAAGGATGAGAGGAATCGTTACTTATGAAATATCAGGATTTCCAGGGCCTCACGTACGGACTCCAAACCCACGGCTACATAAACAATAAACAGCACACGTGGATTGGTAAACAAACGCACAACACTGAAGGGAAGACGTCTCTCCTCGTCTGAAACAGAAGGAAATCCCGGTGTTCAGCACCACTGATGGAATTGCTGTAACGTGCAAAAGAACAGGAACGATGGGGCTAGAATCCCGCTACGGATGATGCAGAGGCTTTCCTGCACAGGCTCTGATCAACGTCTGGGAGAAAGGAAGCAATCTCACAAGGTCCCCAAGACCCATCAGAGCCACAATTAAAGGATCATGTTTTTAGCTAAGAGAATTGAATTTCTAGCTAACACTCTACGCAGATTCACGCAGCAAAGGATGACTCCAATCCCTTTATGTTCTAGCAACGCTTCTAAAAAACTTGGAGATATAGAATAGCCATTAATCTCACGCTAACCACTCACAGCCAAAGGATGAACACGGGCGGCTTCACAGGAAGTGTACGTTGGACTCAGCAATTTGAGATCAGGCTGCCCATACAAGAACCACCCGTTAGGACCTGCTGTTGCTTCAAACGGCACCTATTTAATCCTCGTCTTCATTAACCAACCAGAAGATAGCGGTAACAACTCTGCCTGTAACTATCACCGCGTTTCGAACAAATGCTTTGTTTCTGAAACCGAGGGGTCTGCCTTTCTAGGTCAGAAATAAATAATTTTTTTTAAAAAAAACTTCATTTGCTGTTTGACTAGCACAAGAGTGAAACATGAATCAGCTTTATTTCTGTGAAGTCAGTGATCTGCCTTATAGCATAAAGTATATGAAAGGTTACATCTTGGAGAAGCTGGAGAAAGCTGTCTTTCCTAACTATTCAATAGGGAACGTATAAGCAAACATGATCAGCAAATGAATACGTTTCTTTTTTTTCTTCGTCTTGTATTTTTGGCCTCCTTTGGGGAGATAAAGAGTGGTGAGGGAAAATAAACTAGTGTAATGAAACGGGAACTCTTCCGCATTTTTTTACTTTGATGCACTTTTTCAAAGTCCCTTTGTATGTGGGGTTCAGTGTCATACCGTCCCCAGCTGCACTGTCAAGTGTCCTAGCACACGTGGGCGGAGGGACAGCTGCCAGGCTGCACTGGCTTGCTCCCCAGCCCCCTGCCGCCTCACGTCTGACCTCACACTCTACGCAGGTGTCTCGGAGGAACGACGGCTGGTCAGGTGTTATGGTCCCTGCCAGTCACTCTCACGGTGGAAGAATTCTTCCAGATTCCCTCACTTTGTCTCGACAAGTCAACCTTCTTTCTCAACATTAATAAAGTAAATTATTCTTATCTGTGTTTTTTTAAGGAACAAAATGCAACGAGAAAATCTTCGTGTTCTATATTCAGGAAACACTAGTGTTCAGGTACTGGCTTAAAAGTTCTGACAATGAGTCAGTTGAAATAACTTCACCGCCTACAGGCTTGTGGAACAATTCTGCATGTGAGCCCACATCTTATGCCACTGACTGGAGCGGGGCTAGCTGACATCACTCTGTGTTAGCAAGTCCTCCTTCCTCCTTTTTTTATCCAATCTTTTGGCACAAATGTGCATTCATGCCTACTACCGACTGTGTGAGCGTCCTCCTTCAGACCACTATTTAAAGCTTAACTCCATTATTAGGTAAAAAAAGGAAAGAACAGGGGACAGGATAATAAAGAAAGAGGTTGGGTGGCACAGACGATGAAAACGTTACTCATCGATGCTAAAATGCGAGGTTCTTAGTTCTTCATCGTAGACGGATGAGGGTGTTGGTGTCAATCCAGGATTCAATACCTGTCTTACCCACACGGGGCCACTTTCAGACACATAAGCAATTCTGAACCCTCTCTTCATGTCATTTCTGCACTAAAGTACTCTTTTCTGGCCTCATCAACTATCATGCATTTTCACTTGAAGATGCTCTATCTCCCTCTCATTTTTAAAGAATGAGATTTATGTCTGCTTTCCAGTAATGGTTATGTTTTGCCAAAGCTATTGGCCACCAAGCTCTTTGCCACCAATGCACTTTCAGATGCTTTATATCTAGGAGCTTGCAATAATTCCTGGTGTCGTGGACTCTACTCTATTTCCTGTTATTGCTCTAACATTACCTTCTCAGTTCTTTTGCTTTTCAAATTCCTCTTTCTCTTCCTAACCCTAGTCACGGTGGCATTCTGAGTTGCTTCAGGGATTAAACAAAATCCAAACTGTGCCCTTGTGTTTGTGGGAAGCATCTCCCTGCTCTTCTGTCTCCTGTTCCTTCCTCCTTTTGGGAGCCTGGCTATCCCTCCAGCAGACCCCTGAGCTCTTCCAACCCCCCCCCCCACCCCATTTTGGATCCTCCGACTTCTGCTCCCTTTTAGACACTCCAGAAAGCTCTGGTACCAGCACTGGGGTCTGCGATGTGGGCAAACTTAGTGGGGCTTCCGGACTTCACCCCGCACTGTAAACAGAGGCTCCGAGCTTCCTTCATCCTGTGTTTGCTGATGAAACCGGTGAATCAGAAGGACTGATATGTTTCCAGGGACTACACTTAGCATCTCTCTTTGCCGAACACATCACAGCAATTTGTTTTTGCCAGTGAGACTGGGGCAGCTCCCCATGGGGACTCGGTTCCCCTACTGGAAACCCCAACTGCTCTGGTAGGAGCTTGTAGGTCACCCACCTGCCAGCCTGGTAACGGGCACTGCTGCAGAGCCAGCCGGCATCTCTCCTCGGCCGGCAGCATCCTCTTGTCGTCCGGGAGGGTCTCGGCCAAGGGCTTATACCTGCAAAAAGCAGTGGGGACAGGAAAGCCATGACTGAATTGGTCATCAAAGGATTATCTGCAACAGGGTTGCCTTTGTTACCCTGTTTCTTAAACTTTTCCCGTTCTTACTTTATCCCATGCGCCCCCAAATCTCCATCCATTGTGCATTTCACATCGGACCACTAGGAAACAGCCCTTATCCTTTACAAGGAAAATGATTTTAAAAGGAACCAAATATATCTCTCAATCCTGTAATGTATCTTTAATATTATCAGGGGTGATGCAAACCATTTATCAAATGAAACTTTGAAGAGGAAGAATATGAATCTATTAGTCCTCATTTAAATTTGTAGAATACTCTTAAAATACACCTTTTAAGGTATTCCAACATTCTTTGATAGTGTTCGAGAGTGAATCTAGAGGTAGTTAGTATCTATAATAAAGGGACACCAAAACACCCCAAAGTTTTATTTAAGTGAGAGGTAGAGAAGCTTCCTCCCCATTGAGTAGATACTGAGTATTTTAAATCTTTTAGAAGGACATTTTATTTTTGGAAAGTTCCTCAGAATAATTAAATTTCACTCTTTGGCTGAAATTCATGACTATATAAAGTTTTCCTATGGGTTTCTAAAAAAAATGCCTTTCAAAATTATATGACCCATTAAAAATAAAATCTATGTGAAATTTTCATTTGCACTTAGGGCATTTAGCCTGACATGTAAGCCAAACCACATTAGGAGGAGGAGGAGAAGGGGGAAGAGCAGGAGGAGACATGGAGTGAGGGAGCAGGAGAGACAGGCAGGCACTCAGAGACTCAACCCCCTGTCCCGGCTGAAGTCCCACCCCCTCCAGGTTCTAGCCCCGCCCCAAGGTTCTAGCCCCTTGGGTGAGTCTCTGCTCTCCCTGGGTCTCACTCAGTCTGCCCATCTGCAGAATGGCTGGGCCAGACTGAGAGCTCACTGCTGTGCTTTCAGGGACCCTCCACCTACCCCTCCTCCTCAGGGGCCCTAAGTGGGTGGGATATCTAGCTGCATCCCACCCTAAGCCTTACCTGCTCTTGGCCCAGGATAAGGATCCCATGAGGCTTGATGGGGTGCCAGGCGGCTAGGTTCTCACCGGAGCCCTGCAGCTCTCCATCCTGGTAGGCAGACCACAGGCCGTCCCTTGTGGTCCAGGAGAGGCAGATGTGGTGCCAGCCATTGTCCTTCAGGCTCAGGGGCAGCTGGGCCACCTGAAAAGAGGTTCCCGCAGCCCCAGGTCAGAGGTGCCACAAGGCCCAAGGCTGGAGCAGTGGGATGGGGAATGGGGAGACCCGTGTCCCTCCTTCCAGGGACTGACCCAAGGCTTGCCCTGGGCGGGAATTGCTCTCATCCAGGGTAAAAGGAGCCTGGCCCACGCTGAGGCAGGAGGTAGATGGGCCCCAGGCTGAGCAGCTGGAGTTGGTCCCCTGTGGACAGATACTCCAAGATGAAGAGGAGGAGGAGCTGAGCCCTGCCCAGGTAAGAGACAGAGACCACATATTTCTCATTCTCGAGGTCAAGGAGACCTTCCCGACTATACATGTGCAGAAAGGCTCCTTGGAGGTCAAAAAGGGATTGATGTCAACCTACCCATAGGCCTCTTCACTAGAATCCATCTTGGCTAAGAGATGCATGTGCACACATGGGAGGACCCAGAGATAAACCAAATACGGACTCAGAACCAGGCAAAGCAAGCTGATTGGCCAAATTAAACCCGGAAGAAATGCCCCATATAAGTGATTCAAACTACCACGAGGGCGTGACTCTCTCTGAGCCCACCCGTGTGTGCCTATTCACACGTACTCTTTTACCTCCTAATAGACACTTGTTTCACTACTTTCTGTCTCTCTGTGGAAATTCATTTCTACACAGCTGATGGGCCAGGGCCTTGTTACTGGCCACTGGTCCCTGGTGGTGTAGTGGCAAGGATTCAGCGCTCTCACTGCTGCGGCCTGACTTCAGTCTCTGGCTGGGAACCGAAACCCTGCTTCAAGCCTCTGCAGGCCGAGGCCACCCGAGATCAACTCTACTTCCACCCACCAGGCCAGACTGGAAGAACCAACATAGCCAGCGACCTCTGAGAGACAGAGTGAGGGCCCTTCCTAGAGCCACCCTGCTATGATCATGAACTACCTCCTGCTGGCCTGGGAGGTGGGATTCAGAGAAGCTCTAGGCAGGCAGGATAGGGGGTGAGGTCAGGCAGCTGCCCCAGAGATCAGCCTTTCAAGACCCAGCATCTGAGAGAGGAAGGCTGGCTGTACTCAATGAGAAAAAAACATCAGCGAGGCAGTAGTCAGGAGCTGAGCAGGAGCAGGGCCCAGACAGCCCCCTTTCTCTGCAGCATCTTTGTGGCTCCTGGTTGTTAGGAGCAGGCTCTTCCGTTGCTAAGCAACTGGAGCCTGGTGGATTAAAACCAATTTCCTGAGCTCACTGAAAGGGGGAGGGAGAGAAGGTACAATGCAGATGCCCTGGGGAAGCTCATCCCTGCCTCCAACCTTTGTCGGTGCATGCGGGGGGAGGGGGAGGGGAGGGGAGGGGAGGGAGGGGGAGGAAGAGGGGGAAGGAGAGAGACAGGAGAAACAAGAAAAAAATCTAACTGCATCTGGTGTGTTTATGATCCTCACGTTGGGCTGCCCTGGGAACTCAAAGGTGATAATTAAATCACCTAAGTTTTCTGTTATTTTCTGTAAAATATCTCAGCTTTTCACCTAAAGTTTGTTGCAGCAAATTTGGCGTCTTCTCAAATGAGTCCTTTGTTTCCTGAGGACATCTAAGGAAGGCAGTGTGTCACCTACACACCCGGTTCACCACCCCCATCCAGCCGAGCACGGAGAGGGCTGGACGTGTCCCACTGGCGGCCACCGCACTTCTTTCTCTCTGCAAGCGAGGTAGAGAAGCGAGGTTGGAGGGGGAAGCGCAGCAGGAACTGTGGGTCTGGGGTGTAACATAAATACTGAGAAAATGCACCTGTGTGACTTTTTCAGTAGCAGACTTTCATTTCCCCTCTAAAATCCTTTTAGCATTGTCACCGCAAACTTACCGTATTATTTGTCCTGGATTGAGAATTGTCATGATATTGCTAGCCGTGAGTCAGACAAAATAAATACGGCTGCATCAGCAACACCCTCCCTTCTCACACATAGATTTTCGCTCATGTATCAACTCAGGGTACAGGAGGGGGTAAAAATAGCAAGCAACAGAGACTGAACAGGAATTGTAGTGCTAGAGGCACGGCTCTGAAAAATCTAGCTCATCATTTTGATCACACTGAATGGTCGCAAATGATCTGTGGATGATGGAAGTATTCAGTGATTTTTTTTGATAAGAGGCAAGAATATGACTTTCTACCCTGCGGTGTGCGGAAGGCCGGGAACAGGAGAGTGTACGGGGGCAGTGGAGGGACCACCTGAAGGTGCTGGGCATCCCCCAAAGATGCTGGTACATGACCGGAGCATCAGTGGGCAAACAGGGATTATGTGTTACAATGTTTAAGTGGTTCAAAGGTGATAACTGATATAACCGTGCAATGTACCTGCATAGGCGAGAAACTGGATTGGGGATCTAAACCAAGATTCAGGTTCCAGCTTTGCAGCAAATTTGCTGTGAGGCCCTTGGCAAAGCACTGAGCAGGTAATCTTCCACTCTCTCAGTACCGCACATGTGTGCGACCCAAATTCTATGTTCTGTTGTAATCATTAATTTAATTTTTATCTGTCCTCAAAATGTGTGAGCTTCCCCAGGGCTCGGGGTCATCTCTGCACATCCCATGGTGTCTGCTCGACTGCCTATGCGTGTAGAAAGTATGCATAAACGAAGAAATTGGACTGGGGGAGTGGAGGATGGGGAATGACGCTTCTCGAGCACCGAATGAATGCAGGGGACTTTTCATAAGTCACTTCGCACACTCCTCCAAGATGCAGGGGGCATGGATGCTAATCTCCTTTTGATGGTGAGAAGCTGACGGTCACAGAAATTAAGTCACTTGCCCAAGTTCACACAGATGATGTTGAATTGTGTCTCCCCAAAAGCAGCGTGACCTGACTTGGGAATAGGGTCTTCGAAGATGTATCGCAGTTAAGAGGAGGTCAGTAGGGTGGGCCTTAATCCCAAAGGACTGGTGTCCTTATAAGAAGAGAAAATGTCACGTAAACACAGAGACACAGGGAGGACGCCACATGATGACGGAGGTGGGGAGGGAGGTGACACAGCTGTAAGGACTGTGGGGCCACCACCTGAAGCCCAGAGAGGCAAGGAAGGAGTCCACCCAGAGTCTCAGGGGCTCAGGGCCCGGGCGATGCCCTGATTTTGGACTTGTGGCCTCCAGAACTGTGAGAAGTACATCTGCGTTGTTCGCAGCCCCCCAGTTTGTGGTGCTTTGTGAGGGCAGCCCTAGGGACCTGACACAGATGGTGGAAGGGTCTGGGATTGAACCTGGGGCAGCCTGACTCCGGAGGCAATGTCTCCACCACCATCACTCCGGCCAAGGCGGGAAGGAAGCAGCCCCGGCCCCAGATGGCTACAGAGTGAAAAGAGACGAGCTTGCGCATCAAAGTCCCAAACGCACAGTAACCATCAGCACACGGGACACGCAGAGATAAGAGCTCTTGGTTCTCTGACCTTTGGGTGACTGAGCTTTTCTTTAGCAGTAAACTAAACTCATAATGACATACAGACTCATTCAAACACTCAGGAAAATCAGCGCGTTTCCACCACTTACCCAGAGTCACACAATGCAATGAAATCACTCAAATTATCTTCTCATTCTTTTATAATTGTCTCATTCTGGAACTTTGCTAATTATCACCAAGAAGTGAATTGACATAATTCAAGTATCTGAATACAGTATTAACAAGTCAGAACAAAAAACCTTAACACTTGGTGCCTTTTTTTCTCATTTTATATTGTTCTTTTGACACCTAAAATGGTATAATTCTGACATTTCAACCGAAAAGACAAAAACGTCATCTTAGACGGGGTGAGGTACTCTATTTTAGTGTAA